ACGTATCCTGTTCGACGGCAAAAGAGGCTGCAGACTTAGTTTTTCTGCGCGTCGACGGGATGTCTGTCCTGACGTTCACTGGGACCGGCGCTGACTCTGCCGATCACGGGCGTTCTGGACTCGACGGGATGTCTGTCCTGACGTTTCCTGGGACCGGCTTAGACTCTGCCGATCACGGGCGTTCTGGACTCAACGGGATGTCTGTCCTGACGTTGCCTGGGACCGGCGGACTCTGCCGAACACGGGGGTTCTGGAGTCGACGGGATCTCTCTTCCGACGTTTCCTGTGACCGGCGCTGAATCGCTCGTTCACGCTTATTTTGGAGACGACGGGATCTCTCTTCCAAAGTACATGTATGTTAATGCGGACGCATCCTATCACCTATTCGGCGTCTATTCTAATTTAATTTCCTCCTCGTCTCCCTATTTCTTTCCAAATCTCCCTCTACATCAGGGAGTCGTATACATAATACGACGAATATTGGTACGGTACGGGACAGATACAGGAGCCCGCAAATATTGTGGACAGCTGTTATGTACAATCCTGTAGAGCCTTTTTAGTCACAGATACGGGACAGATACGGGACAGATACGGGATAGCTCCAGCCGTGACACAAACAAACAAACAAACAAACAAACAAACACACAAACACCAAATTAAAGCTGTGTGGACCCTGGCTAGCGCCAGACGTTACTGAAGTAACGTCTTCTGCATAGCTACGGGAATAATACTATATTTCTGAACGTAAATCGGCTTTTGAATGCGCTGACGACGTGAATATCTCTTTCAACACGTTTAACTGCAACATGTAACCATGATACTTCGAAGTAATAATACTATATTTCTGAACGTAAATCGGCTTTTGAATGCGCTGACGACGTGAATATCTCTTTCAACACGTTTAACTGCAACATGTAACCATGACGAGCACGGCACAAAACAGAAAAGCATGAATCATAATAATCGTTTTCATCAAAATCTAAATATTTGCCGGGTTGTTAGGTTGGAATAGGAAAAAAATGAATCATAATAATACCCGCAAAAATCAGGATTAGAGATTAAATGACTGTTTACTAGTCAGTAATGAGCGTCTCATTCAGGACCTGTTTGCGTTGGAAGTCACAGGCAGACGACCCCTTCTCTGGCTCATCAGCTGCCTCAGTGAGCGGACACAGCCATTTGTTTTGGGGCCAGCAGAAGCCCAATCACCTCTTGCAGCCGTGGTGTGCCTTAGGGATCGGTGCACGGCCGGCTGCTCTTTAATGTGTACACAAGAGATGTTCCTCAAGTAGCCCAATCCGCAGCCGCGATCCAGTTCTCCGATCCGATGACGTCGCAGTATATTGTAGCGCTGACACGACTCAGGCTGTTGCAAGTACGCCCTCAACCGCAGTCTCCTTCTTGGCTGCATGGCCGGAAGAGCGAGGACTGATTCTGAATGTTATTAAGATCCGTCAAGTTCTCACAGTCTTCCTTGGTAGAGACCAAGACTGCCTCCACAGCTGTATTCTCCTTCTGACGAGTAGGTTGTGAACTTAGTAAAAATAAATAAAAATATGCCACATGTATGGTCTTGAGCAGCAGGTCCATGAGCCAACGCCTCGTGATGTCAGATTTACCAGGCAGAGCCTCTGCATCCACCCTTGGCAAATCCGATCATGCAGTGATAGTTGCACATTTTGATGTGGCACCAACCCCAGACCGTCCGACCAAGCGCACAGTGTGGCGGTACCAGCAAGCCGACTGGCCCCGCCTACGCGCCTTCCTGCGCGACTCAGACTGGTCCTTTCTTGCTACTGATGACGTTGACGCCTCATGTGACAAACTCACCAGGAAAGTCACAAAGGCAATGAAACGATTCATACAATCCAAAGTACTTAAGCAACGAGCCAGCAACCCAATCTGGTGGTCTCCTGAATTCCAAGCATATGTTGACAGAAAACAACAGGCGTAGAGGCACCATCGGGCCTCCCCAGATGATGCTGCAATTCTTTCAACCTTCAAGGAGGCAGCAACTGCCGCAGTCGCCACTCTGCATCGAGTAAAGATGGCAACATTAACAATAAGAGACAAGATCAAAAGAAAAGCTTTACAATAATAGGGAGGTTCCGGAGTACGATTTTTCGTGCCAAAATCCGTAGAGGCGCTACGGATTTTTTATACGTCGTTTTTGAGCAGTGAAATGTTCCGGAGTACAGAACTTATGTGTTTGCCGTCATTGCCTAGGTTACGATCCCAAACACGTCACATTCACGCCCTATGCCTTTTTATTTTGAAAATTTGTACCGAAATCAAAACTTCCCGCGGAAAATCCATGTTTCTCGTACCAAATTTGTACACGAAAACTCTTTCTGCACCCGATGACGCAAAATCTCCATACGAAACATGGTTCGTGTGAAAGCCAGTCCACACGGTTTCTCCGTGCCGAAAAATCGTATGGAGCCAGCCTGGAAAAAATCCGTAGCGCCCACACGGATTTTGGCACGGAAAATCGTACCCCGGAACCTCTCTAATAATCATAATAAAACGTTGCCTGTAAAATGTAAAAGTCACTGAGTACAGTTTAATTCAATATCCATGTCCAATATTTATAATAAAAATTATCTGCTGCAATTTATAGATTCTCACATGCAAGCAACCTGGGCCTCAGCAGTAGAGTCCATTGGTCCAAAATCCACTGTACAGAGTCCAAACTTTGAAATCAACTACACATAGTCTTTATGTGGACAACACTCCCTGTATAAAGTCTAGACAAATAGGCCTATCCAGAGTTCAAAATTAGACATAGGATCTGCTGTGAGCAGTGAATATTAACCATACAACTGCCTCTACCTTTTATCCTTTATATCTTTCACTTCTCAGCCACTTCATTTACATGAAAACCCTACAAACACCATCCTCAAATCAAGTGGTCTTTTCGCACACGCCGCAAATTACAATAATCTCAATCAGGTAGTGTTCTCAAATCATTGTGCACGCACACACACATACAGCGATAGGGATACTCGAGTAGAGAGCGACCACGTCCATTGTGACGATGACGGTCCCCGCTGGGGCTTGGAGGTCGGGATACAGTAGCCGGATATCCTCCAGGGCTTCCAGTGTGTTTTCAGATGTGCTGGAACATAACATCTCAGGCACTGGTTGAGTATGCGCTCAAAAAAAGCAAAACAAAACTTATGGTTCGTGTCAGACTGGGCTACAGGCCAAGTTTTCCGCATCCATAAGAACGCCACCACCCTTCAAGGATCAAGGCGCAGATGCAGCTCCTGAAGTGGCGGGAGGAGCGCTCAAGGACAATAGAAATACTGGTCAATGCGCAATCAACAGCTGACACAACTGGTCGAAGCGGTACTGTGGCCTTGTAGCCTTTAGGCAGGCCATACGTATGATCTCCGGAAACCTGTTGACAGCGGGGAGTATGGCTTGGTACAGGTCCTTCTCTAGTGGACCGGCACATACGCGTCGAATGATGATGCGCGTTTGCTTCTCTCCATGACCATGGTGATATAGATAGGTGTGAACTTCGTCTAGTCCGACAGGATAGTCTAGGCCTTATCAATGCATGTTGCTATCTACCGTACTGGCAATATATGTTGCCGCGTAACTCGTAACGCAAGGGGGTGCGGCGTAACGCGCGACCAGGCTAGTGCGACAAATTTTCGTTGAGTTCGTAACGCGCGTCCGGCGGGGTGCGGCGATCTTTTCACTCAAAATGATGTGGCAAAAGCAAAAAAATGATGCAGCAATAGCAAAAAAAGTGATGCGGCAATAGCAAAAAAAGGACTGCAGCAATATAGAAACCTGTGTAACGGCTCCTGTGCGACTTTGCATGTAACGCCCTGCGTGCGGCAAACATGTGCCAATGTAACGCTTCATGGCCTCACTGCGGCAACATAATATTATATTGCCAGTACGGTACATTGCCACAAACTCATTGTCTTGTCGGACCTCTTGATAACCACAGAATCATGGTCGCGGAGGTCTGTAAGCCGCTCGCAGACTGTTTGAGACATGTCAGGCTGGGGAGCTGCCGCTGTCCAGTAGATATTCATGACCTCGCTCTTGAAACTGGCAAACCCGAATTCCTCTTTCCTTCGAAAGCTTGGGACCCTGTTCAAAACCGTGATGTGCCAAATTTTTCATTTCAAATGTGTCCAGTTCGGCATTGGCCTCGTTCTGCTACTTCACATTTGCGTTCGCCCACCACCGTAGCGAATAGACCATTCTCTCTACTCTAACCTCCACATCTTCCAAGTCTCTCTTCCCCAGCAGGCCAGTGGATGGCCCAAAGCCAGGGCCGTTCTGCAGCACGGTTACTGTCTCATAAGGTACGCAGTGGTCTAAGTCGACAACCAACGATAACCAGTCCCAGCCGGCGCCACCTACTGCCGCCTGCACGAGTTCCTGCACGAGTTCTCCTTCCTGGATAGGCGTCGTCTAGGGCTGAAATACTCCTTGTTGCGAACAGCATCACAGAGATGTCGGAGCCAAACGTACTCCTGCTTGGAGTATGGTCGGAGTTCAGCCCGGTAGATTGTGAGGCTCCGATAGCAGAGAGCTCTCCAATTTAACTCATCTTTTATCTCTTAACCCATCGTAACCAGTGTGCCCACTTCATTCGTGATGATGGCTATTAATGTTGATGGCCAAAACGTTTTTAAAATTGATTTTTTTCGGAAATAAATTTGTGACAAACAGTGATAGAGTGTGAGCCAGTGTTGCTCACAAGGCCAATTTTTGCTTATAAAGCTGCGTGAGGCGTCCTACAAGACTTTCGTAATTTATATTAGCTACGTAGTATAAGTGAATGGTCTTATCGACGATTATTCAGAACTAGTCATAATTATATGCGGGCGATATTAAGCATTCCCACACATCCAAAGCACCAGTCATTACACGTAAACAGCTCTTGGGAGAACATTTTATTATCTTCAAATAAAACCAGTGTATGCATGGATGCATGCCCTTTGTGCTATGCTATCTTCCTATCAGGTTGGCATGACAGCATGCACTTCGCATGCAAGTCAGTGGAAGAGTGTACGCCTGATTTACACTGAACTGAGGGCTTGGCGGACGACTGAGTAGAAACAAAACAACTTCCATTGGTAGCTAAGATCTTTTGTCGTCGTCCAGCTGAGGCTTGATAAATTCAAAGTGGTAGATTGTGTTGTATATACCGGCAAATCTGTTCATAACCTGTCCATTAGTTTTCAACCCTCTGGGAAGTAGAACAGACAAAATTATACATTCGTTTACATAAGGGACGCGGAAGCCATCGCTTTATTACAACAATGCATAATAATAATAACAGGTGGGAAGTCTGAAGAGGAGTTTGAACGGTCTCTGCTGGGATGAAGGGTACACCTTAGCTCAGTGGTTAGAGAATCGCTGGTCTCAAGTGAAGGTCCCTGGTTCGAATTCTGGTGATGACAGCCAATTGTTCCTTCAGACATTTCCCGTTTGTGTATTTCCCTCAAACCAGTGAATATCAGGTGGGCTTAATTATAAACTCTTGTGTTGAGCCAATAATAATAATAATTATGTAAAGAGAAAAGGGCCTACATGTATAAGTGACTAACGGTCCTTATACCTCGCAGTAGATGCTTTACTCTTTAGAGATAATAGGTGGGTCGAGCATTCCAAAAAACACCAAAAACATTTGTTTGTTTTTCGGCTGAGTGTAGCAATGTGTCACTCATATTATACTTTTCGAGCGGTCGCTCTTGTTCTGCGCGAATCTAGAGAACCAGCACGAAGTTGTGAACCGTGAGTGTTCTCTGAATACTTCAGCTATTGTGTCAACACCAGAGTCCCGAATGAGACAGTCATCGAAGTTGAGAAATTCTAAAACTGATAGCCTTGGCAACATCTGCGCCATCGCCTTGCCACCTTCGCCTGTGAATGTGTGGTTGTTCAGATCCACATAACGCAGCGAAGTGTTGGTCGTGAACGATCGTGCAAGAGCGGATATGCCGGACGCATTAATATCATTCTGATAGAGTGACACTTCTTCGAGCGTTCCCAGCTTCTCGAGGCATGCTTTTTGGTTTCATCGTGGTCGTTGGAGTTTTCAAGTGCTCCAGGTTATTCTTGTTTTCACACGCAGCCACAACCACTACAACTCATCATTTCCCCTTGTATTAGTACGTCATCATTTCCCCTTGTAGTAGTACGTCATCATTTCCCCTTGTAGTAGTACGTAACCATTTCCCCTTGTAGTAGTACGTCATAATTTCCCCTTGTAGTAGTACGTCATCATTTCCCCTTGTAGAACGTCATCATTTCCCCTTGTAGTAGTACGTCATCATTTCCCCTTGTAGTAGTACGTAGGAGAGATTGAAAAGAGAGTACCGTGCGCCGTCTATCAAGAGTCAGTAATGTTAAACCTTCACAAGGTCCAGGATTGCTGATGGCAGACTCATAGCCGCCAGTCTTACAAGGTTGCCAGGACCCCGCCCGCCCCCCTTTGAAAACTGCACTAAAAAATAAAACTCTCCCGTACGCATGTGTAATCTTTCACATTGCAAAAAATTATTACAATGGATTAAAATGCAGTAAAACATACACTGGAGAAGAAATCAAGAAATGCATATGTAAAATGAAGATTTTCAAACCCAAACCAAAAAATCAAATATGCCCATCAAGTTTGCATGCGTAACACTATTAATGATGATGGTGTTGTGCCCGTCACACCAACCACCTGACCTCCATGCGGCATGAAAAATACAAAACAGCACTGAGCTCGCAAAACACGTATGTGAGCTGAAGAGCGAGGGAAAGCCGTTGACCACTACATGGAAGGTGCAGGAGAAGAGCCGATCATACAGATGTGAGTCAAAAAATATCTATGTACCGCGGAAAAATTGCACATCCTGACTACACCCAAGAAGCGCCTGCTCAACAAGCGGTCTGAGATCATCTCGAAATGCAGATATGAGAATAAGTTCCGCCTCGAAAATTTCACACCTATCAAATGAACTGACCAAGTATTGTACTGGACTTTTCCTGAGCACCCCAACGTCAATAATTATTATTATTAATAGCACAATCCCTTGGCGTGTTGTTGGCTATGCCACTCTGCTCACGCCTTTACCGTCACCCAAAGACCCCTTAGCCATCTCACTTGCCCATTGCCCACCATCCTCCTGGCACTTCCACCCAAGTGCTAGCTGCACACAGCCTCCCCATCGCCTCTTTCCGCGCTTTCATAGCTCAGACCTGCCTGTTGCCCGCCACCCTCCTGGCACTTTTACTGTCGCGCCTTGGCCCGCGCCAGCTTTCTCCCCATACCTTACACCAGATTTAGCGCTAAATTTGTTTATTCTTGTGGCCCTACGTGTTTAGAAGCATGCTGTTCCGCTGAGTCTGCTATGTACTAAGCTCTGTCTATGACATTGAGCACACTCTGCAGCTCGGGGATCAACAGATATATATATATATATACTCAATCTGCGGACAGCATGCTGTTTCGTTCTTTTTGAACTCATCAGCGCAGCACAGAGAAAATGAGGCCGAACCTGAAAGCAATGGAAATAAAAATTTCCAATCAGGCCCGAACGTACCTTGCCAGAGTGCTCAAACTGACAAGTCAGTGAGCTCTGCATAACGCAAACAGCAAAGGCACTACCCCACGCAAGAGTGCTCAACTGCTACAAGAGCAGGAGCGAAATATATATATATATATATATATTATACATATATATATATATATATGTGCATGTATACACTAGTCAGAACAACAGATGGCTTGATCAGTCACAACTTAAAGTTTCATGCCATCTCAGGCACTCATCAGGTGATATAATCAGGTGATATCAGGTGATATAATTATTACATGTATATAATTATTACAATATTATTATACTCATGTGCGGAGGCACTGTTATATCTCTGCTGATCTATGTGTTGCCCCACGTTTTTTTCACGCGTTTACGCATTTTCGTCTCCCAGGAATTTGTTTACTTGTAGTTGTACATGTATACAGTTTTCACAGCATCCACCTTAAAAAAAGGTTTGATACGGCTGTCATCACGCTACTCGTACAAAGGGTTGCGTTCACGTCCATGCAAGGTGCTTCTGGTCGGTTGCTATGATGATCCATGAAGAAACGAGAGCAGAGGAAGTACGTTACGTATACAGGAAGGGGTACACAACATTTTGGTTGAGCGTGCTTTTCTATCCCCCAATCTTTTTTCCAAAAGACCTTGCAGATGGGTTTGAAATTTCAAATTTATCCTCTATCATGACCGTGTGTGCCTAGTGTATGGGACAGGAACTGTGCCTGGTCCGTGTGAATACCAAGACTATGGCACCTTTAGAATTTTGACCGTAGACGTAGACAAAGGAGGACAAAATGTTACGAGTTATGACTAACTGTCCACCAACGTAACCAGATCTTATACAGTCAGCGAGTGCGACCAAATGGCACAAAACTGACGAAGGAGGACTTAGACATTCGGCGACCTGACACAACATGTTGTCCTCCATTTTACCATAATTTAATATGCTCAACATCCGAGTTTTAGACGTGGACGTTAACATTAATGCTGGCAGTGAATGTAATGTGACGACGGCCTTATGAAGAGAATGCTGAAAATAATTGACCATAGAATACTGATATAACGAGAGGGCTTGGAAGCTCAGGGCCCTGCGCTATGCTTTGTTGCCTAGCTCCTCGTGCATGTTGTTAGAACTGATGGAAATGCTTTTTCCTTTGATTAGCTACATCATTGTATTGCAAAAACATTTCAATGAGATACTGAAGTAACGTCTTCTGCATAGCAATGGGACCGGCGCTGACTCTGCCGATCACGGGCGTTCTGGAGTCGACGGGATGTCTGCCCTGACGTTTCGTGGGACCGGTGCTAACTCTGCCGGTCACGGGCGTTTATCCTCTTCTTATTATTTTACTGACGGCAACTAACATCCATTCTGATTGCATTTACTCGTCTCCCTACTTCGTATTTCTTTCCAGAAAATCTCCCCATACAGCAGGGAGTCGTTTACATAATATGACTCCCTGCTATACATCTACATGGCTGTATATTATACGTTATAATTATGATGCTATCCGCCTACATGCGATTCCCGGGCTGGTCGACAGGCGGCCCAGCCAGCCTGCTAGTGGGATCTCGGCCTCGTACACAAATCCACACAAAATGTTACTGCACTGAATGCATTCCCCCGATACACTTCGCATTCTCTTGATGGTACCGTACTCTTGATGGTACGGGACAGGAACGGAATAGCGCCAGGCATGTCGATGGCACAAACAATCAAAAATATTGTGGCCAGCTGTCTTTGCTGGTACGGTACAGCACGGGACAGATATGGGATAGCGCCAGGCGTGACACAAACAAACAAACAAACAAACACCAAACGAGAGAGCTTGGAAGCTCAGGGCCCTGCGCTATGCTTTGTTGCCTAACTTAGGCTGTACGCACACTACTTGAAAAACCGCATACAAGTGACTTAGGCTGTACTCACACTACTTGAAAAACCGCATACAAGTGACTTACGTGTGAATGTTGCCACGGTGACGGTTGCGAAAATGAAAAAAGCCCTTGAAAGCCTCTTGAAAGGTTTCAGCGGAAACGGAACCCTCTTCTACGAGGTTTTTTGCTTTCAAGCCGTTTGGAAAGCTGTGTGAGGTCAGGAGGCCGGAGTACTATTGTACGTTGAAAGGCTCCAGAATATTTTTCATGCTTTGTTTCCTCGTGGTCGTACTGCTCCTGTACATATACTTGTAGTTTCCTTTTTTTGCCTGCCATTTCTGAATTCTGTGGTGCTTTTTTCCGAGTATTTTCTTTCTTCCAGTAGCTTCCCGTTGTTTTGATTGCCGTTTCTGTCGCATTTCTATTGTACCATTGCTTTTGTACCGACATCATGCCTCGCGTAGTGTTTTCTGACGACTTGGAGAAGAAGCTCATCGAGCTATGGAGAGAAACCTCTTCATCCGTCGACGTCGACGATGTGCTACTTCTTCGCGAGGCATGGCGAATGAACTCGAAGCATGGCGAATGAACTCCACGATCCAAGCAAGATATAACTGTTTCTATTTTTTCTCATGAACTAAAAATTTCAAATAAGTTGATCGAGCGCAAAAAAATTGAAGGAACGCAGCCTCGGGATTTGCAAAACTACCACATGACAATCATGTTTCTCCATGGTAATTTGCTGACAAAAATGTTTCAAGTCGTCACTGGAGTGCAGTGTGCT